CCCGCCCCCTCATCCTTCATCCCCTTCCCTCCATCTCCTCCTAGTTTTTGGGGTGGTTTTTTGTTGTTTTTTTTTTTCTTTTTTAGGGGGAAAACAGGATAAACCAGCAAAAAATTTGGGTGCCAGCACCAGATTCTTCCCCTTTCCTGGGGCTTTCTCCAGCCCCTGCTTTGGGAGTCGTCTCGGGGAAGGCAGAACACCTTGTTCCCAACTTGCAAAGATCTCCAGCAACGCACCACCCCGCCAACAGACTTTCTCCTGCTTTTTCAGCCTCGCTTGTCAGCGCTTGCTATTTGCAGCTCGTAACCCCCTTTCCCCCAAGACAACGGATTTATTTATCTCCAGGGATGTGAAAAAAAAATATGAAGGTGGCTGGAAGGTGGTTGGTGGGTTAAACTGGGGCCTTGGCTGCACGGATGGGGCTGGAGATGTGTCCTGGCCATGTAAAGGACATCGCTTACTCTGTCCCAAGGGCACAAAAAAAACCCTGGTGGTGATTAAAAAAACAAAAAAAATCCAACACCCTCCCTAAATGCATTTTTCAGGACCTAAAAAGTGCCTCCGGCGATGCTGTGAGATGCACCGCCCCAGCAGGTATTCCTTCTCCATATCTCCCTTCCCTCCCTCCACCCTCCTCCTCTGGTTCCCCCAGGGCTAGGTGTCTCCCAGCCATAAGGATGATGTCCCCATGGTGTCCCCACAAGTCACCTGGCCTTCGGGATGGGATTTTGGGAAGAGCCACACGTTTCGTCACCTCTGGGTGCTGTAAGAGCTGCTCCTCAGGCTGTTGGTGTTGAGCGTCTTGCAATTGAAGGAGGTGTTTTGAAGCACCCACCCCATCTCTAAGGCACCCCATTGTGCCCATCACCCTGGCTTTTAGGCCTGGTGGCACCAAGGGATCTGCTGACAGGACCCCAAGGCTGGGGAGGACGTGATCAGACCCAAAGTGAAAAAAAAAGTGAGCTCCATGTGCTTCCTACCCTTAAAACCTCTCAAAATTCCTGAGTCCACCATCATGGGGGTGTCCTGGGGCTGCTGAATGTCACTACCTGAGCCAACTGCAGCCACCACAGGCCTTTTTGGGACCTACTTATTTTTTTCTCCTCCAAGCTGCATTGTGGTTAAATCTTGGCCGGCAACGGAGGTGGTGTGAGGGAGCAGGGCTTCTCCATACCTCCCTGGAGCAGGGTGGACACCCACAGACCCAGCTGAATCTCTCCAAATCTGAATATTTTGCGCCCTCTCCTGGGTCCGGATGGTGTGACCTGCTCTCTCCCACCCTGTCACCCTTCCTTTTGTCTCCGAAGAGCTGGGGACACCAGGCTGGGATTGTCCCACCGGCCACCACTCTTCCAGCCCCCAGCATTTTGCTCTTCTGTTGTGGGACCCCAAAAATACATTGGAGGAGATTTGGGCCTAGATGGGCTCCAGCCAAGGGGACCTCCAGGGTTGGTTCTGCCTCCTCCATCACTTTCGTTGTGGGACCCCAAAAATACATTGGAGAAGATTAGAAGATTTTGGGCCTAGATGGGCTCCAGCCAAGGGGACCTCCAGGGTTGGTTCTGCCTCCTCCATCACTTTCTGTGGTCCAACCCAAAGCTGTTGGCACCATGCATGGTCCTCCCCACCAGGACATGGCCACCGCCCCTGTAAAACCAGGTGGCTTGAGCTAACACCATCACAGGATCCTTCTCCACAGGAGCCCACTGAGATGCTGAGATCTTTGAGCAACATCCAAGAGCTGATGACCACCCTGGGCACCCTCCTCATCCTCGCGACAGCAAGGAGCCACATTGAGACCACCAGCCCTGGGTGTTGGCGAGGTCCTTGGATGCCCTGGTACCCGAGGAAGATGCCACACGCTTGCGGGGAGCAAGTTGGGATGAAGTCGCGTGCTCAACCAGGTGCAGGAGGGATGCTCATCTCCAGAGATTTGAAGCAAATTACCTAAATCAACTTAGATGTGATGATTGCACATGGACAACCAGAGAGAAATGCAGCGAAGGAGTCAACCCTACACATATCTATGTATGTAAACTATATGTACATACATACACTATAGGTACATAGAATATCTATATGTATTTAGGGTGGAGAACATCCACGCCACGTGAAGCAGTCATCCCTACACATATCTATGTAGGTAAACTATACGTACATACATACACTATAGATACATAGAGTGTATTTAGGGTGGAGAACATCCACGCCACGTCGCCTCCTCTGGGCTACAAACCTTCCCCTTCTTGGATGTATGATCCACACGTGTATATAGTGGGTGTATATATGTGTACATATCCATCTGAAAAAGGGGACGACGACGACGACACGTTTATTCTATACATCCTATATGTTAAAGAAGACTCGCAGAGCGATTAGTGGTACATCCACCCCGCGCTGTGGAAGCAAATCCCTCCTTGCCAGGAGGAAGCAACGTCCCGCTGGAGGCTGCAGGAGCAAAGCTCAAGCCCCAACCTGGTGTGGGGTTGGTGGTGAGGCCAAGCCAACAGTGGAACACGTGGTGACATGGCCGAGGACATCGAGTAGCTCAGTGGCATGGGTTTCCTGACTCCTGGCATCATGTCCCGGTGTGCCAGCTCTGATTTTGGTGGATCCTGGTGACAGCAGGATGTTGAAGATGCCACGATGGGCCAGATTTGGGGTGCTGGGGTAAGCAGGGAGCTGGACCTGGATGATGCTGAAGGTCCCCAGGCAGGTGACACATCGCTGGCTTGTGTCTAACCCAGCCCATGGTCATCACTTGGAAATCCAGTCCTAATGTCCCCCTTCCCACCTCCCAGTCCGATCAGGGATGCTCTCCCACCATTTTGCACCAGTGGGCCCAAGTCTTTTACTGGCCTGTCCCCATTCTGGGGATTGAAGGATAGGGATGTCCCAGTATTACCCCCCAAAATGTCTGGGACACTGATCTTGGGCTGGAGAAACCCATGGGCCCATGTTCACCAGAGAGGTACGAGCTGAGCCAAGGTCTCCCCAGCCTTCACATGACCTGGGGAGGGAAGCTTTAAACGAGAAGGGGGGGAAATCGTCCCCCAGCAGCTCTCCCTGAGCCAGGGACTGTGTCCTCCACAGTCCCACTGCGTCTTCCATGATCCCACCAGTGGTTTTTATTGCATTGGTGGCTTGGACACCAAGGAAACATGGTGCTAAGCTGCTCAAATCAAGCAACCAAGCTAGAGAGAGGACACGATCTGTGCCACGATGGGGTTAATACTGCACCGCTGCAGGCTGGAGATGGGATGAAAGTGCTGAAAGCCTGGGAGATGCCATCCTTCTGTCCTCTAGCATGTCCCCAGCTGAAGCCATCTCCGCTCTGTGGAGCTTAAAGCCAAAATCGCTCCATGCAATTGGGGTGTCCTGGTGTCGGCGAGGTGACCCTCAACCTCACCTAGGAGCCGTAGGTAACGCAGTTGTCATGTCGCCACCTGGAGCTCATCTTGTCAAGGAGGTACCGGGTGCTCTCGCGAAACTTGCGTTTGGTGAAGTAGAAGAGGATGGGGTCGAGGACACTGTTCATGCTGGCGAAGGGACGGGTGCACTTGTAGGCGATGGCAAACGCCTGCAGTTCTGGGCAGGGCAGGCTGGGTGAGGAACGGACGATCAGGTAGATGGTCTTGGTGAGGTGGAAGGGGAAGAAGCTGATGGAGAAGACGAAGACCACGATGATGATCATCCGTATGGCTTTGTCCTTCCTCTTGTGCACCGCCAAGCCCATCAGCTCATCCTTCTGGCACAGGATCCGGGCCATGCTGCAGTAGCAGGCGAGGATGGCCACGAAGGGCAGCAGGAAGCCGGTGACGGTGAGGGTGATGCCGTAGGGGAAGTAGGCAGTGGAGAGATCCGGTGGGCTCAGGTCGTAGCAGACGGTGCGGTTCCTTTGGGTGCCGGTGGAAGCGAAGACGAAGGTGGGCAGGCACTGGGCGATGACGATGAACCACACGGCGGCACACACCAGCCACGTCAGCTTCTTCCCCTTCTTCTTGTGCCACGAGGCCAAGGGGTGGCAGATGCCCAGGTACCGCTGGACGCTGATGCAGGTGAGGAAGAGGATGCTGCCGTGTAGGTTGGTGTAGAACTGGAAGCGGACGAATTTGCAGGTGAAGTCCCCAAAAGGCCAATAGTCCTTCTGGGTGTAGTTGTAGATGAGAAGCGGGAGGGAGCAGACGTAGAGCAGGTCGGCCGTGGCCAGGTTCAACATGTAGATCATGGTGCGGCTGAGGGCCTTACGGGCCACCCAAATCTGCCCAATGACCACAGCGTTCAAGGGCAACCCCACCATGAACACCACGGAGTAGACCAGGGGCAGCAGGACCTGCTTGAACTCCTCTTGGAAGGTGCATGAGTTTCTCCCCGCCCCTATGGGGGCTGTCAAGTTGTCCATGGTGGTGGTCTCCCGTCGCCAATGTCCTCTCTGCTGGTGTGGCCTCTCAGTAGTGCCTGTGAATGACAAAGGGGATGGTTGGTGACTTGGCCACATGGTGTCACACCAACCCTAACATGATGAACCTGGACTAGTGTGTGCAACCGCATAAGCCCCATCCTTCTGGGTTGGAGCAACCCCTTGTATCCATACAGGCTGGGTGATGAAAAGATGGAGAGCAGCCCTGAGGAGAAGGACTTGGGGACGTTGCTGGATGAGAAGATCAACATGAGCTGGCAACGTGCTCTGGTAGCCCAGAAAGCCCCCCACATCTTGGGCTGCATCCCCAGCAGCGTGGCCAGCAGGGCCGGGGGGGAGATTCTGCCCCTCTGCTCTGCTCTGAGGAGACACCCCCCACCCAGGGCTACCTCCAGCTCTGAGGCCACCAACATCAGAAGGACATGGAGCTGTTGGAGCGGGGCCAGATGAGGCCATGGAGTTGCTGGGAGGGCTGGAGCCCCTCTGCTGGGAGGACAGGCTGAGAGAGTTGGAGAAGAGAAGGCTCTGGGGAGACCTTGGAGCCCCTTCCAGTCCCTCAAGGGGCTTCAGGAAAGATGGAGACAGACTCTTTAGCAGGACCTGGAGCGATTGGATGAGGGGTAGTGGCTTCAAACTAAAAATGGGAGCATTCAGACTAGATCTAAGGAAGAAATCTCACCACTGAGGGTGGTGAGACTCTGGTTGCCCAAAGAGGTGGGGGATGCCCCATCCCTAGAAACATTCAAGACCAGGTTGGATAGGGCTCTGAGCAACCTGATCTAGTTGAAGATGTCCCTGCTCATGGCTGGGACTTGGACTAGGTGACCTTTCATGGACCCTTCCGACCCAAACCATTCTGTGATTTCATGATTCTAAACCACGATGACGGATTTAAGGGTCCACCAGGAAGGTGAAGGTGGACAGAGTGGGACTGTGCGGGATGGTGGCACAAGGGACAGTGTGGTGGCCACAATCACCACCATCTCAGCTCCACTTTCCCTGGCACTTACACCCCACAGAAAGGGTAGCACGAGGCCAAACCACCCTCAGCCTGATGCTGGAGAGGAAATTGTGGCATCTGGTGGCACGGCTTCCTCCTCCTCTGCAGGGGGTGCCAAAACCCTTCGGCCAGTCACCTGAGCCGGCTGTGTCCCCTGAGTTTCAGGAGATGCCATCAGCACGACCCACAGATGTTTGGTGGTTACTTTCATCCAGGAGTTGGGACCGGTGACGCTCTGACCCCAGAGTTTTTCCATCTTGTGGGCTAAGAGAGCCCATCCACGCAGCCTCTGGGCTGCTCGGAGCTGGAGAAGAGGTCACCTGCCCTTTCTCAGAGGCTGAAGCTGATGTGAAGGACATGGTCCCATGGAGTGTAGAGACCCCCCCGACCCCAGCCACATCATTTGGCCAGATCCTTGGCCATGCCACCCATGGGGTGCTACACGTGCGTGGGCAGAACCACTTCTCCTTTCTCCTCTCACTTCCTCCATCGCCTGCAGACCCATCTACCATCCAAGTTGGTGGCACGTGGGTGACACTGGCTTCCCCTTGCATGCCCTGGCACCTGATGGGGATGAGCTTGCCTGGAAATGGGGTGGCCCCACATAGGCTGGGAAGGGAAACTGAGGCAGGGAGGGGGAGTGGCCCAGCTCCATCCAGGTGCATGGGGCAGAGGGAACCAGGGGGGGACACACAAGTCCAGGAGCCACCACGTTGGCTTGTACCACCCTGGTGGCCCCATTTTGGGGTTTGGGGGATTTACCAACCCCGGAGCCCACCCCAGCCATGGGGTCAGGCTTGGGAGAGTGTGTATGGGGGGAAACCAGTTGGGAGGGGGTGCAGACCAGTTCCTCCCCCCAACCCTCTCTGATGCTGCATGACCCTTCTACCCCCCTGACACGCCACAGAGACCCTCTGGCACCCCACTGAGCCCCCTGCACCCCACTGAGCCCCTCTGGCACCCCACTGAACACCCCTAGCACCCCACTGTGCCCCCTCACTCCCACTGCCAACCCAGCTCCAGGCAGTCCCAGAACCCACCTCTGCCACCTCCAAGCCAAGAAGTGCCCCATGTCTGTGACCTCCCCCATCACCTGGGACCCCCCCAAACCTCTTCTGGGACCCCAGGTCAGGGCAGCACCCATCCCAGTCCCCACACTGGGCACCCACAGGAGCCTCTGTCATCCCATGGGTGCTCACGGGAACACCACTGTGACACGGTGGCCCAAGATGTGGGTGTCCTGGGAGTGTGTCTTACCTCCTGGGGTGGCAGGGGGTGGCTTGGGGTGCCACAGGGTGCCACAGGATGCTGGGACCCCCAGCTGTGCCCAGTGCAGCCCTGGGGTCCTGAGTTCACCCCATTGAGCAACGCTTCCCCATTTCCACCCAACGGCAGCACCCTGGGGCGATGGGGAACAGAAACTTGGGTGGCAGGGTGGGCACTGTGCTCCATGGCATGGCACTGGGACACAGCAATCCCCAGCACAAATCCAGGCTGGGCGAAGAAGGGATGGAGAGCAGCCATGAGGAGAAGGACTTGGGGATGTTGGTGGATGAGAAGATCAATATGAGCCAGCAACGTGAGCTGGCAGCCCAGAAAGCCCCCCACATCCTGGGCTGCATCCCCAGCAGCGTGGCCAGCAGGGCCAAGGGGGGGGATTCTGCCCCTCTGCTCCACTCTGGGGAGACACCCCCCACCCAGGGCTGCCTCCAGCTCTGGGGCCACCAATATCAGAAGGATATGGACCTGTTGGAAGTGGGGCCAGAGGAGGCCACCATGGAGATGCTGGGAGGGCTGGAGCCCCTCTGCTGTGAGGACAGGCTGAGAGAGTTGGGGGGGTTCAGCCTGGAGAAGAGAAGGCTCCGGGAAGACCTTGGAGCCCCTTCCAGTCCCTCCAGGAGAGATGGGGAGGGACTCTTGATGAGGGAGGGGAGCCCTAGGAGGAGGGGGAAGGGTTTGACCCTGAAAGAGGGGAGATGGAGACGAGACGTGGGGAAGAACTTGTTTGGTGAGAGGGTGGTGAGAGCCTGGCCCAGGTTGCCCCAAGAAGCTGTGGCTGCCCCATCCCTGGAGGGGTTCAAGGCCAGGTTGGAGGGGGCTTGGAGCAACCTGGTCTGGTGGGAGGTGTCCCTGCCCAGGGCAGGGGGTTGGAACTGGGTGATCTTTAAGGTCCCTTCCAACCCAAACCTTCTATGATTCTATGTACTTCATGGCAGGGTACTGCTTGGCATGGCATCGTGGGCACCACATGGCACTGCATGTCACGGCACAACCCACGCCAGCACCTCCATCACGGATGATTCTATGTACTGCATGGCAAGGTTCTGCTCGGCACGGCACCGTGGGCACCACATGGCACTGCGTGTCATGGCACAACCCACGCCAGCACCTCCATCACGGCTCCACACCTTGTATGTACATCCCCATCCCCTACACACATCCATGGGCCCCTATAGACACATATGCAGGCCCCCTCTGCACACCCAGACACACGTGTGCACACCCGTAGTGCACACCCTACATGTGTGCACAGACATGCACCCCCCGTGCACCCACATGGCGCCCCAAAAAGAGCCATACCTTGACACCAGGGGACATCCAGAGCTGGCAAATGCCACCAGGGCTGGGGATGTGCCCTAGACCCAGCTCGGGGATGCCAGTATTCCATCCGCGGAGGCCACCAGATCTCTCAGGCTCATGAATTTTTGGGTCATTTCCCCCATTTCGGGGTCTTCCCCTCCTTTTTTGGCTCCTTCCAAGTCTGGCCATCTGGGACACATGCTTGGGACAGGGAGAGCACCTGAGGTGGTGGCACCAAGAGAAGGAAGATGCTCCCGTTGCCTCATCCTCTCTCGCCGCACCCACACAAGGGAAACTGAGGCACAATCAGTGGGGTTTGAAGGAAATCGTTGTGGTTCACGCTTGGTTTTAACAGATTTTCTCCCAAAAAGACCCCTCAAGTGGGTCGGGGGGACAACTGCTAAGGGACATGCCCAAGGCAACACAAGTTATCAGTGGCAGAGGGCACTCACAGCCAGACCTGAGCCAAAAATACAATGAACAGCTGAAAATCAAGGCACTCCTTCTCCCCCAAAAAGTGGTAAATGAGCAAAAAACCTGAAGGTAAGAGGGTAAGAGGGAAATGGGGCACTGAAGCCCAGTGCTGCCAGGCTGGGATGGATAGGAAAACTGGAGGAGAGGAGGAAATATCCCTCCCAATCCCGGGAAAAAGCCCCTGCGCCGAGCACAACCTCCCTATTAGACACCGGAGAATCCCCACCCCATTCTACCCACTGCCTGCAGCCACCCATAAACCCTGCAATCTCAGCCTGCCAGTGCCCATAAATCATCGCTGTTTCCAATTAACAAAACCACATCAAGACACTCAGCCCCGTCCTGCTGCCGTGCCCGGGTCATGATCTGGCCTGGCGGATATTATCCCCCCCAAATTCCCTTTTTTTCACCCCAAAAAAACCCCACCCCGCCAGCCTTTGGGGTCATGGGGTGGGCACCCTCCATGCTTAGCCCCCCCAGAAAACCAACCATCCCTGGGATTACAGGGTGATGGGCACAGGGATTTGCCCAGGGTGGGTTGGGGAAAGGGGGTGCCCTGATGCCACGGTGATGGGCACCAGGCAAAATGAGACCTTCAAGGGGGGAAAAAAAGGGGTACCCGCGTTTTTGGGGGTGCTCTGTAGGATGGGGTCACCCTTATCCCGTGGGTTTAAGGTACCTGAGAAGGAGGAACTGGGTTAAGAGAGAGAAGTGGGACCGCTCTGCGGCCAGACGGGGAAGAGATTAAAAATATTCTCCCCAACGTGCTGGTGCAGCTTTGCCCTCCTCCAACCCCTTTGCCTTCAAACCATCTCGTGCAAGCCCTCCTCTGATGAAATTAGCTTTAATTAACACCCCGGTAATCCACGTGAAGAGGGTGTCTCCGAGTTCGCTACTCGAACCCCGAAATGGGGAAAATTTGGGCTTCTTCTAACCCTCGAATAGGATATAAGGGAAAAGGTTTCCAGCCTGGAGAGCCTTCCACTTTGGTTTGTCCTGCCCTGGGAGGAGACCCATGGTGGGGACATCTCGGTGGCTTGATGGTAGGGTTGGGATGGCGGAGATGGAAGTGAAAGCTCTGGCTCAGCAGATTTCAAAGGGGATGGAAGGGGGGGGATGTTCCCACCTCACGTGTCGCTTGGCCAAAGCCACAACATCCCTGTCCCCAAAGACCTTCTGCCTGGTCCCAAAAACATCTTCAAGAGCCTGTGGACACATCCCACCTGCCCCAGGGTGGTTGGGGACCAAGGTTTGGGTGTTTGAAGGGGAATCTCCCATTTAGCAAAGTCTGAAGGTGTAACGATGTGGCCAAATTGGGCCAGAGAGGTGTTTTTGGGTGCTTGATGTGGACCTGTGGGGACAGGGTGAGGGGACAGTCCCTCGGCCGATGCCCGGTGGCTCTGCCACAGATATACTCTGTCCTTGGGTGACTCCCTTCACCTCCCCACGCTTTGGTGCTTCATCTCTGAATTAAATCAGCATCTCAGGGATGCTCTGAGTGACCCGGGCAGCATTTTCCTGCTGGAAAGGGGAGATGTTTGGGGCAGGGGAGGTGCAATGAGTTGGCCTGGTCTCAGCTGGCAGTGCCAAGGCTCTGGCTGGGCTTGTATAAACCCATTCATATATACACACAAACATATAGGCTCATATACAGCCATGTGTTCACCCACATGTACACACATAAACATATATATACGAGCATATAAATATATCCATATATATCTCCATATAAATATATCTCTATACATATATGTGTCTATACATAAATACACCACCTCTATACATAAATATAAGTCTATGCATATAGATCTATACCTCTATGCATATATATCTCTGTATGTATACCCCTGGGCATAAATATACCTCTATACAAACATATATGGCTCTACGCACGCGTGCATATGCACACGTGTATACCATACATACATTTCTCTGTGCATATACATGGAAATATATATGTCTTCATTCACACACACATATATATACAAACTTCTACACCTATATACACAAATATATGTCTCTGAGCTCATGGAATCACACACGTGTATATACATAGCTCTACCCATATATATATTTATGCCTCTATACACACATGCTCGTATATCTAAATATATTTATACTTCTGTATGTATATATGTACATAATCATATAGATAATATCTCCAGATCTGACCCCATGCTCTCTGGATCTGACCCCATCCTCTCCAGTTCTGCCTCGTCCTGCCCAGTTCGGTCTGACCCAGGTTGGGTCCAATCCTGCCTGGATCAGCCTCACTCGCTTGGCTCTGATCCTGTCCCATCTGGTCCCATCTTTCCCAGTTTGGTCTGACCCTCGGGTGTCATCCTGAACTGGTTTTGGCTGTCGTGTTTGACCTCAGTCCTGCTGGGTCTGACCTTTTTTTGGATCTGATCTGCCCTGTTTGGTCTCATCCACTCGGGTCCCATCCTGCCCGCTTCGCTCTGACTCTGCTGGGTCCCATCCTGCCCAGTTCATCACCATGCTGCCTGATTCCCTCTGCCTGCTAGGGTCCCATCCTGCCCAGTCTGGCTCCATCCTGCCCAGTACGGTCTGACCCACTCAGCTCTGCTTCTGCACCGTTTGATCTGACCCACCTGAAGGGTCCCATCCTGCCCAGTTTGGTCTGACACTGTTGGGTCCCCTTCTTCCCATTGGTCTGACAATGTTGGGTCCCATCCTGCCCAGTTTGGTCTTACCCCCTCAAGTCTGATCCTGCCCGGTTCTGAATGACCCAGTTGGGTCCCATCCTGCCCAGTTTGGTCTGACACTGTTGGGTCCCATCCTGCCCAGTTTGGTCTTACCGCCTCAAGTCTGATCCTGCCTGGTTCAGAATGACCCAGTTGGGTCCCATCCTGCCCGGTTTGATCTCAGCCTGATGGGTCCCATCCTGCCAGGTTCTGTCTGACCCTCGGGTCCCATCCTGAATTAGTTTTACTGATAAGCTCGGGCCCGATCCTGCCCAGTTTGGCCCCATCCTCCTCGGTCCGATCTGACACTTTTGGGTCTGATCCTTCCCAGTTTGGTATCACCCACTCAGGTCCCATCCTGCCCGGTTTGATCTCACCCTGATGGGTCCCATCCTGCCCGGTTCGGTTTGAGACTTTTGGGTCTGATCCTGCCCGGTTCTGTATCACCCACTCGGCTCCCATCCTGCCCTCTTCGCTCTGATCCCACTCTTCCCAGTCAAGCCCCATCCTTCCCAGTTCACTCCGACTCTCTTCTCGCGTCTGATCCTACTCCGGTTCGGTCTCACCCCACTCGGGACCCATCCTCCCCGGTCCAGCCCCATCCTCCCCGGTTCCCTCTCACCCTTTAGGGTCCCATCCTGTCCCGGTTCGGTCGGTCCCGTCCCCCCCCGCCTCCCCAAACCCCCCGTACGCGGCACTTACCGGCAGCGGGATGCGCCCGGTCGGCAGCAGCGCTCAGCCCCCGGGGCCGTCACCCGCCTCCGGTCCCGCTCCGCCCCGCGGCCGCCCCGTTCCGCCCCCCCGGGCACCTGCTTGGGGGGGTGGGGAATGTTCACAGCTGGATTAGAGGGAGGAGAGAAAAAACATCTGGGCTGGGGGGGACTGGAGAGCTGCCGGGGGGGGGGCTGCCACACAAACATCTGGCTTGGCACTCTGGGCAAACATCTGGAGTGAGTGGGGTGGGAGGGGGCTTCCAACAACCCTTCCCAAAGTGGGATTTAGAGGGTGGGATGCTCTGGGATTGGCCAACAGCTGGATTATCCTGGCCAGGAGGCTGGGGGGGGAGCAGCTGGGGGTTGGGGACAGGGTCTCCCCACGGCTCCGGGTCTCAACCGAAGGGGTCGTTGGCTTCTGTACTCATTAACCAGGCGGTCAAGCCTCGGCGCTTCCTGAGCAGGGCAATTAAAGAGCAATAAGGAAAGGGACCCGCGGGGGAACGTGTCGGGTATAAAAGAGCCGATGCATAAACAACCCAGGGATGCCAGGACCGACGCAGGATGGAGGGTTGGGCCCTTCATTTTCCTGGAAGCCCCGTTTCACCCTCCAAAATTAAGCCCTTCCTTCCTTTTTCAGGGCTTGGGAGAGTGGAGGGGAAGGAGATTCCCACCCGGATGATGGAGCACCATGTGAGGGTGTCACCTCCTCGAGCCATGCACCCCCAGAGCTGGCACCCAAATACGAAGAGAAGGTTTTGGGGTGCAGGGTGTGGGATGGGGAGATGGAAGGAGGTGCCTCAAGCCCATCTGCATCCCTCCCAGCGCCTGCGCTCCGGCGGCCAACGTGGAGATCTCATCGATCCTGGCAAACCAGGCAGCAGGGCCACGGGGGAGACGGGCTCCAGCGAGAGCAGCCGGGAATATTTGCATCCCCAGCCAGGCTGGAGCCTTCACCCTCATCCCGGGGCTGCCCGGGCTTGTGCGGTTGGGTTGGCGATGGCTCGGTGCCCTCCTGAAATTCCCCGTTCCCTCAGCTGCTACGGGGAGACGGAAGTTGGTGGTGGTGGTGGTGGTGGGGAGGGAAAAGTGTCTTTCCCCAGAGCAGAGCAGAAAACACGCCTTGTGCAAACAAGCCCGGCTGCCTGCGATGGGGAGGCCTGGGTTTTCTGCAAAGCATGTGGGGAAGTTGGCTGAGAATGGACACAACTCGCTCCTGCGATGAGCCGCCAGCGAGAGCACTTCTCCCACCTCCACCTCGTCTTGGGGGGGTGAGATCCCACCTGGTGGAAAGGAGATGGGGTGTCCTCCTCCCTCCTGGCCCCCCCGGGTGAGGGTGTCCTTGCAGGGTCCCCAAGGTGAACGCCTCGTAGCCGGCCGTCCCCACTGTGGGGACAGTGTAAATAGTGGAGGGAGTGTTTTAAAAAAAAAAAAAAAAAAAAAAAAAAAAAAAAAAAATAGTTAACCATGCTCTATTCTTCTAGAACAGCTGAGCTTCAAATACAGGGAATA